ATATATATATATATATACATAATTGAAACAGTAGGAAGAAACTAATTCTTGTAACCTGGTTGCGAATTTCGCTCAGCCTTAATCAAAGAAATGGAGATCGAATTACTCGTTAATCCACGATGAAACTGTCGCTCGTTAGTTAGCAGCACCTATAATTTTCTTTATTTTAAAGATAATTATCTTTGAAATTCTTGAAAAATCTAAATTCTACTTTTTCAAATTTCAAAATTATACACGCAATAAACGAAAAATACATGACAGGATAAAAACATTCTTGTTGGCCTTTAAAGAAGCGTTGCGTTAAATGATTTTATCACACGAAAGGAGTTGAAGGAGAAGACGGCGGGGAAGATGGAAAGGAAAAGAGGAGGGGAAAAGGAGAGGTGAATAGGAGTGACAGTCTATACATTTTTCATTATTTAAAAAAAAAAAAAATGTAAACAAAATGTCGCGTACTGACAGGTTAGCGCGATAATGCGCTTTTTTGCAGTAGGCATGAAATAACTAAAGTTAATTGCTACGTCACTGTTAAGTGTTCCTAACCACATCAAAGGTTATCTACTCCACACTAGCAGTTTTCGTAATGGACATCGCACCATCAAAATAATTCAGTTAGCGTCATACCCATCTCTGATCACCTGTCCATTTCATTTTGTTTTGACCATTACAGAGGATCAGATGTCCAGAAATCATGCTGCAGACATTCAAATCCTGACATGAATCTTTTCATCTGATGGTTGCAACTGAGTCAAAATATTGACATAAGCTATAAATTCCAATCTAAGGGCAAATCTGAGATCTAAAAGATGGGTATAGAAAATATGAAAGATAAATATTGTGTTTAATGTCACATAAAAAATAAAGAAGTATATCTATCCATAATGATGCAAAACTGGTAGTCTCATCATTCCAAAAACGCAATTAGGATCAATTATAAGGTCCAAGATCCGTGGTCAAGATGTGGAAATGCAAAAAGAAGTTTTATGCAATAATCTTGTATCAGAGTTGGAAAAACTAAATCCCGAAATCGGAATAATGTAATAATATATAGTATCGGATTTGGGGTAAAATCGAATTTAAAAAGAATAATTAGGAAGGAAAACGAATTTAGTGTTAATATTTGATTTGTAGACTCGCATTAGATTTGCAACTAATTGGTATTAAATCGACAGGAGAATCCAAACAAATAAAATGAACACTGATCCAGAAAAATCTCACTATACTCTTCTGAAATTTGTAAAGGAAAATAAGAAAAGAAAAGGAAATGATTAATTCATGTGCTGATAAAGTTATCCCATTAATGTTGATAACAGATATTGAACCACGTTATTAATTTTACGGATAAACTATCGCAGAGGAATATGTCATCCATTTTCCTCTCAAATAATTCTTTTTTTTTTTTAAAAGATAATATCCAACTTGGGAACGAAGTTAGTAAATTAACTGTCGCAGATGAAACAGAAATTACATAGTGAAATACTTGTTGTGTACTCAAAGGTAGTCGCTGGAACACAAAGGGATATGTATTACAACAACAAATACTCCGTATTTGTTCACCTCGAGAGTTTGCTTGGATGAACCGCTCTCACTGGTCAATTGCGCTTCGGCCGCCGTCATGATTGCATCATGTTGTTGTTGTTCCTGTTGCTGATGTAGTTGTTGGTGCTGATAATGATGATGATGATGAAGTAATTTGATCATTGTTTGAGTTATTTAAATATGAACAATGTTCAAACGTCAAATAGTTCGTTAAAAAAGTTAATTCTTTGTTAGGTGAAAAGCAAAAGTAAGACAAAGAGATATTTCCATTGAGTAATAAAACCAATAGAATCAATCGCATGGAAAATTTATTTTCTAAGTGTATTCTACGAATAGGACAGAAGAAATGTTAGGCCATTTAAAATCAAGAAAAAGTTGCAAATTAGGATAAAATTACTAAAAGAAACATGATGTATATTAGAATTATAAACATTCTCTTTAATGTTTATCTGTATATTACTTATAATATAAATGTAGTTTGTCGGAGGGAAAGTTGATGGCATGCAGTAAGGGAAAAGAATACCTTGAAAATTGTCTGTTGGAAATTGTACTTTGCAATGTTTTACCATTGTTTGCGACGTTACTGGGAACAAAAACCGGTTGAACGGTGCAGTGGAAAAGTTTCAGGTATAATTGTATGTAGGCGTGAGTGATTAAGATGCACTTGCACCGCAAAGTTTTGCGCCAAATACTTATATTCCCAAGCATTCGTAGGCAAGTAGCATATGCAGCATTGTGGTACAATCTTGCGGTGTGCAAACACCGCGTTATTCACGTCATAAGTTTTTAATTTTTAAAAAAATTATAGCTAAAGATAGAAATAAAATATGGCATTCAAGATTTCCGTGCGACAAAAAATTGTACTATGATTAGTGTTATGAATAGAAAGATGCATGGACGGTTTTCAACGGGGCGTAACTCTGAGAAGCTTACTTGCGTAACTTTTGCAGCAAATAAAAAGGTTAGAAATAAAAAAGCGATGTTTGTGAGTGCTATATAGAAAAATTATAAGTGAAATATGAAATATCAAACAAAAATAATATGAGAGGAAAATGATTCTGTAACAACGATGGATTCATAGTTTGAGAGCGGAACGAAACAACACTACAACCCATCATACTTCATGTATTGTGTCTGAAGAGTAATCATATTTCTATAGATAGTAAAGACCATTTATGCAGATTATAATTGTTACAAAATTTTTTCGAAAGCTCACATTTCTGTTTGATGATACTAGCCGTTTACTGAATGCAGATGATAGGGACGCTGCAGCAGTGGCGCAAGATGCTAATGGTATTGTTGGGATCACTGTTGTTGTTGATGTCGATGGTTGACGACGTTGTAGTTGTTGAGCAGAAGTGGTACCAGCAGAGTTATTAGAGAAGTAGGCCTGATCATCGCTCTCAAATGTGTGCTCGATCTTCACTGGACCACATGCCTTCATCTGATCGATCAATTCAAGACAGTATAACCGGAAAGTTTTACGGCACTACCACTAATGTCAAGCAAAGGAGCTAAAACTGCCAGTCATCTTTCTTGCTTGCAAATTTTGCTTATGGAACCACAGCTTAAACGAGGCTGTTACTTGATGGGAAAAAATTTTTCCAGAGAAGAAGTTACGACCGGGAGCTGCAAGCTTAATTAAAATCAATTTTTAATTGCATTAAAAGGTGCAGATACAATTACCTCATTGTTGTCATCATCATTTTCTGAAATCAAGGACGGATTGAGTGCATTCCATCGGTGATACGAACTTAACGACAATGTGGCATGAGCACCGATCACCGTCGTATTCAACGTATCCATAATTTTTGCTAATACACTCGGTTATACACATAAATGCTATCGACAGGAAATACAGCAGTAAATATAATTAATAACTGCGTGAAATATTTTTATTTTCTTCTAATTGTGAAATCCACTGCACACATTAGTTGACTAATTTATTAAGTAGCAGTTTTTAATAGTTTGATCAGAACATCCGACTCAGTTCAATTTGCAGAGACTCAGTTGTAAATGATTTGGAACTGTTTCGTATATTTTGCAATTATCCATAATCTGCATCTGCAGCTTGTTGTCTATGCAATTTAATAACTAATGTTCCTGTGTTGTAATTTTACGTAAGGCCCGTTACCCGAAATCCTGAAATATGCACGGAAATTTTGCATTGATATTTAAGCATTACACGAATTACAACTGCAAGCTTATTCGTCTGCTTGTCTGAATAAATTTTGTCTTTCCAACCAGTTAACGAATGTATTCATGAATAAACGTTTGTGCTGAAATATAGCACCGTACCACACAGTTCGTAATGGTGACAAAGTCGTATATCTGAAGCTTCTTTCTGAATCGATCTCTTAGAAATGGTTCTTAACCTTAACTGTTACTCTTTCGACGATTGGGCATGTCTGATAATAAGCTGGTAACGTGCAAAATATCTTCCTGACTTGTTCAAAATCTTTGAAACATAGTTCTTCACTGTTTTGAAAATGAAAATTAGATGCCAAGGTAGATTTTTATGGAAAACTTGAATGTAAAGCATTTGTATATATTTAGCGAGAGTAAGATTTTGAGGGATATCAGTATGATTGTAAGATACCTAAACACAGTGGCAAAAAACTTAGGATGGTCAGCATACGATTGAAAATGGCCAGCATAAAACTGAAAATGAATGGTCAGCATAAGACTGAAAATATTGTCTCACTGTGATTTTTGGAAGTTCGCTTATAGCAATACACATGACAATAATTTATGTCGTTTTGCTAAAATGCTCACAAGAAATGCCGTTCCAAACCCATGATCATCAAGCTCCTCTTATAAAGGTGGTAATAAAGAATTTTCTAGAAGAAATAAATAAATTGGTCAACTTAAAATAAGATACAAGCATTACACAAATGCCCTTCTTAAGTAAAATAGCTAACTGTCCAATATATCAATAATGGTCCAAATGACTTGCTCTCTGTGTATGGCAATTATTTTTTTTTTTTGTCACTATAACATTTTATTAACAGATCAGTCATGCCTCCCAGTATATTTAAGATAGTTTAGCTTATCAAGTGGATGAAGTATAAAAGGTAAGCAAAGTAAGAGTGTAAGGAGCAGGAAAACGAAAAAGATAAATTATGATGGGAAGGAGACGTTGTTGAGTTGTTTGTCCGAGATGGCCGATACACTGGTCAGCAACAGTAGGTAATTGTTGTTACTTGCCGCAAACAATGGTTAACTTCCATTTGTTTGCATTTCCTGGTGTGCTTATATTTTCGCACTTAAACTTGATCGATCATTAGTTGCTATCATTGTTCGGCTATGCTAACTGTGGAGTAATGGGAAAGTGTTTTTAGCGCAAACGACAGCTACCAAATTATTGTAACGGTAGTTTTTCCTGGTGGTACCAAAAAATAATTGGCTGCTTATTGGTATAACACCAGAATTAACCTACAACTTAGTAGTGTAGAACGATAAGGTATTTAGGATGAGTTTTCAGTAGCACTAAAAGTCTTCATTAGACCTGTAGGGAAGGTTGGTTACAAGTAAAGTTGAAGCAATGTATAGAGTTCAGATACGTATCAATTTTCGGATTTATAAGAGACTCTTGTAATCACTGTAGAATATAGTAATTTTTTTTCCGATCTTTTAAGTATATATTCGCTCATATAAGAGTACCATTCTTTGTATGAGAGCAGTTTAATGAGCAGTGTTTTAGCACACGCTACTACATCAGCTTCTTGATTCACTGGAAACAGACTATATGGTAACGTTATTCTTGGATATATGATTTTGTTAAATACAGTGGTCGTTGTAAATACTTTTATCAACCATCCGGAACCAGATAAATGTGATGGGATTTTGGTTCTCAAAACCCTGTTCATGTTATGCAAGTTGCAATAATCTTTAAAAGGTTTGCTATGACTAGAAAATAACCAAATGACTGAACTACTAAGTGGGACAAACTGAGCCATAGAATGGTTGGGACAAATTCCAGAAAACTCATTAAATGAGACAACTGAAGAACTTTTCGATTCAAGAATTGGTCGAGCGACGCAGCTCTTGAATGTCGAATTTTGAAATTAGTTGGATTGATAGATAACTAATCTTATTTAGTACACTTAAGACGTGATGCCAACATTTACCCATCGGAGAGGAAAGCCTGGTCGGGTTGAAGTTTTCTACAGTCCTACGGTTCCGCCATACACCACAACATTCTGTTTTTTAATCATCAGTTAAATTTATTTTCTGCCAATAATTTTCATTTCCATGGTGAAAACTCGTTTCTTGTAGTTAGGGGATGCTGACTGGATGAACAGAGAGAAATGGCCAGCAGTGCCAGTGGCAATGCCATTGGTCAACTGCCCCATAACAGAAGACTGGTCCTAAAGTGATGTGCCTCATTTACCTTCGTATTTCATCATCCTATTCGGTAAAATTAAATAAAATGTTGCATATGTAGGTCTGGAAACAATTTGATATCTTCTGGGATGTATTCTGAACAAATTTACTGCACTTTGTCGCCATTAGAAACCCAAGAAAGCAGCCTTCTTTAACTATATTCTTTCCTTTTACCACGAATAAGGCTGCCTTGCACGACTATGAACAAATAAGGACAAATCTCTTCACAGCTTTTTATGAGAAAAACCCTATGTCAACCAACGAATGAATATGTCAAAGAAAAACGAAAATGAAATGCTCTGATGGCCATGAAGACTTGTAGATTAAACTATAAGCAATGAATACTTTCCTTCTTTGTTGCCTTCCTACCCAGTTCAAAAAAAAAAGCAGTTCGTGTTGGTGTAAGGATTTGCTAGACGAACTATTTTCGAAAAGTTTGAACGAATGACACAAAAAGTAACTTCAGGTATAGATAGGTGGTCGTAAACTACAAAGCCACGGTAGCATAGATTATGGGAAAACAGAAGGGCAGAAGTGCCAAAGAATAACAAAGTAAATAACAGTAACATATATTAATGTAATTGTGGACGGTAACACGTGGAGGAGGAAAAATGAAACGGAAAGGGAAAGGAGGAAAAGAGGGACTGGTGGGAGGGAGTGAAACCGGTGAGGGATCGGGTCCTAAGAGCAGCAAATCCGTGATCTTGCTGTGTCGTTGGGTGAGTTGTGAAAAGTGAAAGTGCCGTAGGGGAATATAGGCCATGATCGGTCGGTATGACGCAGGCGGTTCCACCGGCAGCGGCACATCACAAAACCCTCCACCACTACACCCCTCCACTTTTCCAAACGAAAATACGCATTACAGTGTACATTTTCTCAGAGCGCAGTTCGATATAGATGCCCACTCGAGTTTAGTGCCTTCCGTAGATTAAAATTATGTGTATATACATATACGTCTATGTATGTACAATCCTTTTTTGATTTAATGAGAACGATATTATCTATTTGGCACTTTTTCAGGATTTCCCTAATGACATTCGCGAAGATACACTCATACCTGGAGGCTAGCATCCTCATCCTTTCCGTCCAACAGTTGGTAGTATAAGAGAACTACTTATCGTTTCAGAATAGTGCGGGGGAACTTCTAGGACTGTTGAATGCCATTTAGCGGCGGAAAGGGAGGGGTGGAGAAGGCGGTTCTTGGATGTGTGTTGCTTTGCATATCGAGGAATATAACAAGGTATCGCCAACAGGCAGAAACGTCTACAAAATTGGGGGCGGTTGAATCTCCAAATAGACCATCGTACTTTGCGTAGATGATGGAGACCAACTGGTTGCAATAACTCCAACCACCTCCGATTTTACAACTATATGGCAGGGTGCTACTTTTCGGGGATTGGGAATGAAAGTGAAAGGGGTCAATCCACTTTATATTCCCCTAAAACTGATAATGAATTTGCAAGGCGTGGACAGGGTGGAGGAGAGGGATGGACGAGGGAAGATGAAGTATGACACGGAGAGAGATGGCATGGGATGAATGGCGAACTGGATGTAGGAAAAGCGAATCTTGCAGGAAAAGGGGGCAAGGACCCGTTCCCAACAGGTACCACCGACATTCCTCCGGGCATTCTCACCGTGATCCATTCATTGTTTGAAGTGATAGCCTTCACTGCAGCGTATACTGCATTCCAGTAACGCTGCACCACACTACTGTAAAATGCACCCCTAACAGTTTCCTGAATATAATGTATTTATGGTGAAGTGCCCTCACAGGTCAGACTTTACTGGACCTTCATAGGAACCAAATACGCTGACTGTAGACACACCATCCTCATCCTTCCAACTCTCAGATTTATGCTATAATTGATGCTGCGTGTCTCGAGACAGACTTACCGTAACTGTGTGACATACTTGACACGATCGCCTCTGAAACATGCTGGAATTTATTTCGGGTTGTAGGTTTCACTGGTGGCGTGGAGTTTACGGTGCCGAGGGGAAGCATCCAAATAGCAGTCTTCTGTGAATAGTCCACTTGTAGTTACTTGCTCTGGTTCACGCATACGCATAAAACATTCACTCATATTTTCTAACAGGTTTGTACCGAAAGGTGATATTACCAGTTGATGAATCTTTGGATCGTACTGACATAATTGTATGAACGCACGCATAAGAGTCAATGTTTGAGCATCATACGTAATATATATTATATTTATCATACGTAATATATAATACGAATAAAAACTGAGTTACTGACTGTGCATAAGTTAATAAACTTACTGGCGACTGTGTACTCTTCTAGTGATCCTCACTATTCTTCAGATCATATTTAAGATACAACGTCGCAGTATTGATTGAGGTACTTTCATACCTAACATATACGTAAATGGACAATATTGCAGCGATTTCCAATCAAAATAGGGAAATAGTAACAGTTTACGCACGGTCCTTATTTTCGAAAATTCGAAAAAGTAACATCTATGTTTTTCATTTGGTTTTTGCGAATGATACTCCGTGATTAGACTGATGACTCGAAGATTCCATTGTTGACCCATTGTAAATGTCCTTTTTCTCACTTTGCTGTTTTTTTTTCTCGACACCCTTATAAAAGTCTTGCAATGCTCACCAAATGCTTAAATTTGTGTCCATCACTTACTATGACTTTGAAATATATGCGATTGTTTGAATTTGAAAGATTGATGAAACTTTTGCAGGATGAAAGCAGTAATACTTGTTGGCGGATATGGCACAAGGTTACGACCGTTGACACTTACCCAACCAAAACCACTTGTGGAATTTGCCAATAAGCCAATGATGCTTCATCAGGTGAAAGATTCAGTTATCTTCTTTTTCAAATAATTTAACTTGCTCAGTGGTAGGTTCTTTGTATATCCAATTTCAGCGGAGTTTGGCAAGCTAGTGTTTTCAAAAATCGGTGGAAAATGCTTTGTTATGGTAGATTCTACTCTTAGTGCAACTTCAAAATCGTATTCGTGATAGCAGGATGTCTCAAAGCAGTGGTCATGAAGTCGACTACAGTCTTCTTGTAATTTATTATGCCTATAAGCTGACTTAGAGGAAATTTGGTCCTATTTCCTCCTGACAAATAGCTGTTACTGCTGTAGCTGATCATAGGAAGGACAAGAATGAGGAATTGTAAACAGCAGAGAGGTACAAAAGTACGTCAGATTTTGTTAGGTTTACGAAAAAAAAATGAATAAAGGATATTGCCGAAGTTATGTTTTAATTTCAATGTAGTTCATCGTTATAATTTATAGATGGAAGCACTTGTGGCCGTCGGTGTCGACACTGTGATATTGGCTGTGAGCTATCGTGCAGAACTCCTGGAACAACAAATGAAACAACATGCTGATCAACTTGGTACTTTATGCCAGTACTTTTTCAGTTTGGATGTGTTTCAATAATACAATCCTTACTTGCTTTGAATCGTAGAATTGGAAAATGCAGGACTGCAAGGAATTTGAGTTAATACCACTCTTTGCATGTTTTCGCATTCAAAAAAAAGTGTCCTGTAAATTCTAAGGTTATTTAATCAGAATTTATTACATCACATGCGAAAAGAAAGCTTTACATTTTCTTGAATCTAGTGGATACTGAAACGACGAGTAAAAAACATGAAGAGTAACAAGATCGAAAGATCTTATTATTCATTTTTTCCTATTACTCTTTGTTTTAATTAAACTTACTTTTATTTGTAACTAGCATACTTTTATGTAAGCTCCAGTTTTCATTTGTCAAGGGTCATTTATAAAATTTTTTAGGTATTG